GATCGGTGGCAGGATTTTCATTTATAAAGTTATAGTTTATTTAACAGAGGCTCAGACAACATGGCGTCAAATGAGATGATCAATTGGAATGGATGTGGTAGACGCGGTCATGGCCTAATTTAAGGCACTATCACGGAATTTTCCTGGAGCAACTGAAGAAAACAAAGAAAAAAAAGTCAGGATAGCCATTCTCCGGGACGAGATTTGAACCCGGGACTTCCCGAATACGAATGAGGCAGGATCTCGTTAACAAGGAGATTAACCTCTGTTCTTCAATAAAAGTCAGGGCATCTTCACCAATCTGAAGAAGAACTCTCATTCATGTGGTTAGTTAGCAAATAATCGCTATTTTTACGAGAATCAGGCGAAATCCATTAATATGGCAAAATGCAGCGCTGATAAATCTTAAGCAAATGGAACAGAAAAATACCACTGTCTTTTAAGGAATCCCCACGGTCTTTCACTGGATATGGAGTAAAAACTGGCGAGATGTTTACGAAGACCTGGAGAAAATGGCAAAAGACGTTCACCTGTATTTGCATTACAATAATCCGCGGCGTAACAGCCCTCTGAGAGATCCTAAGCCGACTAGCTGGCTCCTGGCCTCATAATAATAATTATAATAAATTAATTTTCCTTTTACATTGACAACGAGTCGTTTTCGAGGACATTAATAAAATTCGATAAACTCGCGAGCAGACACCGTTTCCGGAAACATCATTTTTACCACCATGAGCACGTCAAATGTCACTAAATACGACAAGCGCCCTTTAAATCTGACAGATACCAACCAAACAACTGGCTATACTAAATTTTGTCGAAATACGTTCAGGAGTTTTAGGGAGACACGCAGACACGTTATTCATGCCACATTTTAAGCACTTCTTGCAGAGCAAACATGTTAAATCGAAATTTCGACGTCTTAAGACGCTGTAACTCAGTCCCGCCAAACCTGTTGCCCGCGGAGATATTTGAAGAAGAAAAAATTAACTATTTCCCTGGCAACGAAGCGATAGAACACCAAAGCAATTCAAACCATTTCCTGGCTTGACAGAGAAGGGACCACCAATTCCATATTCCCAAGTACCCTATCATAAATCGGCGGTGGTTCTTTGTCGACGATAACGGACGCGTGTTGTTACGAGGATGTTTTCTAGTTAATGACTTGCACATGTGGCGGCACCAGCAGCGGCTCCTTTCTGATATTTTCATTGTCGGTCTCACAGTCGGTCTTATTGTGCAAAAAAGCTCACACCAAAGTTAAAATATAAGAACAAATATCTTATAAAAGGTAAAACTGTGCTAAAAATAAACACACCCTAGCCTATATCGTGAATTGCATTTTTTACTAATTTTTCACATTATCATCAGTATATGTTTATTGTATATAATGTAGTTATAAAACACGTTATTATTATTATTATTATTTAGTGTTCTGTCTGACGACAGGTCCATATGAACAGGATCCTTCCATCCTTTTCTCGGACTGGGACCTGTTCATATACGTTCTTGGCAGATGATCCAGAAGGGGTTTGCCATTGCCTTCTTCTGTGTGAATGGAGTAATTGTTGGGATGCCACAGACACACTTCGACAGTTGTATACTTCTGTTCCCCCTTTTTATGAGGAGAAATTCTGTGGTGTGAATTCGTGTTTTGGCAGAATAAACATATGTTAAAAGTCAAGTTTGCAGGATCCAGTGTAATAGATATCGTCTGTCAATACCTCCATTTTTCACGACAATAAAACCACGAAAGACAACACAAAATATTGTCAATTACACACGACAATCGGAGAGTGAGTTTACAAGAATGCAATCGACACCACCAAGTGAGTCTCCCCAATAGATATTTCTTGTAGTTGTCCATCTACACTGGTAACAACACTTTTATATTATTTCATTTTCAAACGTGTCTCTGCTTATCCTTTTACACTGCCACTTTGATCACGGTTTGCATTTCTGTGTATTTCCTCTATTGTAATTTTTTCCCTCTTGTTTCGTACAACTAAGCTTTATATTGCACAGTTTAGTAAGCCTGCCTTAATCATCAAGGTGATGATCGCACTGTCGATGGAGGCAGCATTGACCTATGAAACGTAGGTAAACCAGATTACACGACTTTACAACCCAGAAGACAGAAAACTTCACTCACCGCCGTGAAAACCCCAAATCTTACTGTACATACGCATGATTCACCGAAACGTTTGTATCTTTCTTTATCACAACTCAGAATTTCGTCAACAGGTAAAAAGTCAGCTTTGCAAGAGTATCCTAAATGTCGATCGAGTATCGATAATGTGATGCCACACAATCACCGCGACCGGGAGCCATCGATTCTGAAGAACGTATCGATACTAGAGCAACGCTGTCGACCGCATAAAGTCGAGACTAAAAAAAGAATGAGGATCACAAAGCGTATGACCTTGATGGCGCGACTCATATGCGTTGCCGTGGGGAAAAGTTCGTTGCCTCGGCAACAAACACTGGAGACAGAGGGAGAGAGAGAGAGACTAAACAGCTGACTGCAGTAGGGTAAGGTCTGACAACACATCAAGAAATATATCAAGAAGCTATCTGAGTAACAATACCCTAGACGTGACCCTGAAATATCGACCAATAAGAACGCATCCGAAGTAACAATATCCAAGTACTGAATTCGATCCTAAAATAACAACGCCTAACCGGTGGGTCCAAAACAACATGCAACAATTAGACACGTTTAAAAATAATAAAAAATCTACTACTGAGCCCGGTCCTGAAACGATATCCAACCACTAAGAGTCAATCTAAAGTAATATTTCTGATCGTCTAAGATATTTGAAGTTCGATATCCTACCCAAATGCTGGGCCTATTCTGAACTAAAAATATCGAAGCTCTTGTCCCCAACTTTACAAGAAGCAATACCCTATGGCCCATACAAACTCAGCAAATGAACCAGAGTGGGTAATGATCAAACTAATTATCTATGTGTTGGTCTACCAAGTAAGTGCTTTTAAAAATTGTGCGTTTTTCTTCTTACTAACGTCTGAGACAGTCGTAAATTTAAGAACTACAATCTGCTAATTGTCACATCCCTCAGATTCCAAACTTCGTCTCACGTCCTTTCGAAATACGTAGAGTCCCGATTATTAAACCCTGAAGGAACGTCGGATAATGCGGAAGGCTGGTGAATACGAGGATAAATATCAACTCATTTTATGATTAAATTACGAATAAAATACAATATGACATAAAATGAAAAAATCTGTTATTTTTATTAAATTATGAATCGATATTTGTTTGAGCCTCATTCCTTTGGCAAGGTCACGCCAGCTCATGAACAGCAGAACGTCTGTAGCAACAGAGTACAAGAAACGTTGAAGTGCTTGTGGTGGGGGGAGTGTGATTCATGCAAAGTTGACTTGATAAAAATGGAGCGTTCCCACACGGGACGCAGGACAAAACAGAATGACAATTATCATGATTCTACTACAATCGCAATTTGTCCTTGACTCTGTTTTGAAGTTAGCTTAGCTCAACCTCTATAATAAGCAGTCGAAGCAAATTAATCATCCTCTCTCACTCATACTAAAAGACGTGGTAGAAATGTTGCTGTCCGTCCTACAAACACACACTGCTATAACTCTTGACACTTTGTTTCTTTTTAAAGCGTTCTGCCTACCACACTCTATAAATACACAGACAATTGTTCTCAACAATCACGAACAAACAAACTCTTACTTGATAAATGTGACTTAAAAATTATTGCTGCCAGTAACACAACAAACAAAAGAATCTTTTCCTCACTTCTAACCCGTAAAGTTGCTGGCCTACGCGCTGTTCTAATTAACACGCAGCCACCCCAAGTTGTTTGCACAGAAAGAAATAAAGCAGCTTCTATAACTGAAACATTTCACATTATTCATGTTGTAAATAACGATGACGCAGCAAATCGTTATCGCTGCAAAGAACAGTATAATCGATATTTCATTATTTAAAGAAGAAGAAAAATAAGTAATGTAAAATTATATTCGATGAGGTTAGGAAGACGTAACAGCGCTTGCCTTGACTCGACTTTGTTTATATCGCCTCTCGTCTTATCTAGAATGCCGTTAACAAGCCAACAGGGCGGAGATGTCAACAATGACGCCAGCCTGTTGAAGTACGCTTGGAAGGGCAGAAGGAGTGAACCCGCACACACATAGACCAAACATGCTACGTAGTTTATTATACAACCCTGAGACCGACGAATTAAAATTACACACAAGCATATTGCCATTCAATTAAAAATACTTTGTCTTCATGTCAGCGAAAGAGACGTATGAGAAATCGAAGTTCACACTACGTGTGTAAAGATAATTTTGGCACAGCCTGCAAAAGCACTGGTTGGGGTCCAATTGTTGCAGATACAAAACTGACGTCATAAGCAAGTTTTCGAAAAAAATACGTACATAAATCTAAACCATTTAAACTACAGCTTAAACCACTTATGTAAAAGGCTAGATTTACACAGTTCAAAAGAAGTACATAAGCATGCATCATCTGAAGCAGCAAGGTCATCCACGTAACCTCTAACAACCATGTTTTCTGTCGCAAAGAAAACAAAAATTCACCGAATGAAAAATCAAACACTTAATAATGTTCTGGGCAACTGTTGTTTGAGCATCATACAAAAAACAAATACAATCTGTAACAAAATGCAGTTACTGAACCGAAAAGCAATCTCACTGATGCTGGAGGCAGCAAGGACATCTGAAACGGTGGTAAACTTATATCAAACTACAAGACACTACAACCCAAAAGACAACAATCTTCGTACTCCCCGCAGTGAGAGAACCTGAAATTGACTATTCGTTATGCGCCAACAATTGTAGTACACGTATTTATAAACACTAATCAGTACCTCAACTACATTATAATAACTGCGCCCTGTACAATTACTAAGACACAATTACATCGTGTGAGATATAAAATCTGGCAACAGTGGACGCTGAGAGATATCGTGCGGCAGAAAGCGTACCTCGGTTTATCGCAGTTCGATTCAGAGTTGTCTCCGATGTCATCGTCGGGTAAGTTCCGATCAGGAATGGCGTCTGGCTTCAAGATATTGAGGTGCTTCACATACTTAGATGGCGGGTGAAAGACGTAGTAGTTGCTTTCGGAGAAATGCTCGCTGCAAATTCTTAGTCTGGATCGCTTTTTATATCCGTCAATCGGCGGGAGACGTAGAAGTTTCTGCCATTTCTCCGTGACGTGACTCCTTCGCCAGGGAACACTGTGATACGATACGGCTGCATCCGTCGTAGAAGAAACCTCTTCAGAAGTTTGCGAAGTTGAAGAATTGCGACAGTTCTGAACTGAGCAAACACGAGACACCATGCTTCCTTCTCACAAAGATCTACATCACGGTCTATGACAGACTGATGGATGGCGACCGAGTCCAACTAACCCACACGTGTACCAACAAGACAGAAATACCGGGGCCTCTCAGCGGGAGGGAGAAACATGGGCAATGGTCAAAAGGGTAGGCCATATACAACCCTCTGTGCAGGGGTGTCAATCTGTATTGCCTCTAAACAAAGCAGGAGACTACAAGATAGATATTCCGTACTGCAATTATACTAGGAACTGCCAAGATCTTCCGCCATTGCGCGCAGCGAAGTTGCCAGTACAACTACTCCGCTGCTAGTTCTGTGTCACTCGGCCGAGATCCGCTATCCGTATTTCTGTGATTTTTAAACATGTATCTGATGATTGCTGTTGTAATAATTCGAGGCATGGATATCTCAAACTGAGTTTGATTAAATGTGCGTTCCAAGGCTAGACGATTATGCTACTGTGTGAGATTATCACGGCGGTAATTATTAATTATCTTTTCCCCCTTTTTGTCGATGTTAAAATTTGAGTTGCAGCGTCTCCGAAAAGTTATCTGCATGGAAGAAGAAATTATATTACTTTGCCTCCACGTCTCTTATACGCTATACTGGTGAGGCCTAAGGGCGGTATCGCACTAGGATGCCAACGGGAGGCCATGGCGCAGCTGCCAGCATCTCGGCCAAACTCAGTGTATTAATTTAGTAGCCATATATCTCACCTGGCATCCGTCTGGCAGCGCTTCCAACTTGGCATCGCTGTCAACTACGATGCCAAGTGAAAATGTTACTGGCATCGCTGCCACGGCCAAGGACAAATCAACATCACACGACAGTCTGAGGCCAGTCCATTGACGTCCGTGCGTGTATGTGCTTGTGTGTATTTCTATTTCTTTCAAACATGGACAATTTCGACACCGAAAGATTGATAATTGAAATTCAGTCCCGACTATGGGATTCATCTGCTATTGAATACGCAAACCGGGACTTGAAAAAATGAAACTGGGTAGAACTTGTGGAAATATTTGGAGGAGATTTATTTACAGTAGAAAAGAAAGAATTAGGTAAGAAGTGTTTCTATGGCTTTATTTGTGGGGCCGCTTTCCAATATGGCAACTTGATTTTTAAGTTTTTTTGTTTAGCAATCTATGCATCTATCTATATATCACAAATAATGTGAATTAAGAAGAGACCTGCTTTTATAATGTTTTATTAAATTAAGTTTGTTCATGTGATATTACATGTGATTTGCAAGAACTTAAATATTTCAAATTCAATAATGGTATGGACGTGCAAAGTGTGTGTATGGAGAATTTTTCTTACTTATTTCTTTGTTACAGAATTGAAATTCACTCCAGGTATGTAGTTTTGATAAAGGTAAATCTCATTTGCTCAAAAGTGATAAAAGTGGACATTTCTCCTTGCTAATAGCCCTTCATTTCGTGATCTCATAA